GTGACCTCTGGGACAGATGCCTGCCACCCGAAGTGTCCGACATAAAGGCTGCAGTTGTTGCAGTTGCAAGTAACTGAAAATAAAGTTCTTAATGGAAAACCTGAACTAAGAGCATCACTGGTGCTCCACCTTTAATAACTTTAATGACTTGTATGTCATAATAAAGAGTGGCATGTGCTGAACAAACATCTCCATAACCTCATTCATTAAGAGATGAATCTTTCAGTATCTAATATTATGTCTTAAAGTCAAGTAAACAGTACATTTTTGGTACAAACAGACTGAGTTATGGAATTACTTACTCTGTACTGAACGAACATCATTTTGTGGGTGTGTACATGTCAGACACAGAGCAGGCAGATAATGAAGTTGACAGCATTGCTGACCAGCCTGACTAGAGCCTGAAGACCATTTTGGCCAGAGCATAGGGGAGTGCTGAACACTGAATAAAGGGGCACCATATCTAGAAATTTTCAGCTGGGAAGGGGTAAGAAGGAAAACCCTTTCTTGTAGAAGGAAACAAGCAGTGAGTCTCAGAGAGAATAGATAAACCACTTTCTCTGCCTTGGGGAAACCAAAACCCTGATGTGGAGCTAGCAGAGGGAGGAAAATAGAAACAAGTGGGAATATTTAGAGTGAGGTTTCTCTTTCAGTTCCCTTGTGCTCTATTTTTGTTCCTTGTGTTGCACTTGAGAACCAGTAGTCACTGGGAGCCTGGAGCATGTAGATACAGCCAGTTTGCAAACACTTCACTGTTACAGAGCTGCTCTTGTTGGCAGCCCAGGTTTGGCTGAACATTGCTGTCCTTGAGGACCCCACTCCTCTGTAGCTTTCTTTTCTAATTTTCTTTGTTTTGTTTTTTTACCTTTATCTGTACGCACTGGAAAAATTGCTAAGTATCCAGCATAGGGCAAATCCTGCTCTGTTTTTACCAGCCATTCCCTTTGAAATGGGTGGCCAGCTGAGATGTGGTGAACTTGTTCTGACCCAGATATTTCTGGTGGTGTTTAACAACAGTGAAAAAGTTCCTGTGTGAAGAAGTGATTGTTACTAAGCTTTGTAATTGCCATTGTGGTGCTGAACATTTTTCTGAATCATTGTTTCATGTTTGATAGTGTAGGTGTCATGTTTGACAGATCTATTAGTGTGTGCTGGGACGCTTCACTGAGAGAAGGCAGACATGAGTGAACTTGCTTCTCTGGAAGAGAATTTGGTTTGCTGCTTGTCTTCTGTGGACTATCAATACTTAAAAGCCATCTCAGTTCAACGTACAAACTCTCAGAGCTTGGAGTTTTGGTGGAGGTAGCTTTTGGGTGCTGATCTGTGCCAAGGGGCTGGTGTTAATGATGTCATCTGCCAAGCTCAGCGTCATGGAGCAGAAAGTGGCTCTTCGGCTCTGTGATGCAGTGACTGTATTGGGGGGCCAGTTCTCAGCTGGTGGTGTACTGCCAGGTAGCACATGAAGTTCATGTGTTTGAAAGGCTTCTTCACAAACTCACTCAGGGAAGAACTAAGTCCTCAGAACCTCCCATGGTATTTTCATGAGCTTAAAAATTCACAAATAAAATAACCATAATTTAACTGAAAGCAGGCAGCAGAATGACACTGCCCTATTTCTCCAGCTTGGTGAGAAAAAAAGATCATCAAGTTGGTGTTTTACTTAAGGTAATTGGAAGAATGAAATCCAGATTGAATTTAAACTCTGGTTTGTTACAAGTGCCCTGCAGCACCTCTTACTTAATGAACAGAACAAGCTTCTGCTTTTTCCACATGCTGCTATAAACCACATTATTTCCTTAGGTAAAAACTTTGGCCAAGATTGCCATAATGTGTGTATCCCAAGCTAGAAGCTAAAACACTGATGAGTTTTTTGAGTCCTTCTTACGTTGGAAAGTGAAGCCACAGATTTAAATAGTGAACTATGGATGTGAATTTATAGCTTCAACTTTCAAAAACCTGGCCTTTGACAGCTTACGTGGTAGCACCTCTGTGCTTTAAGCTGAGGGCTTGATGGTCTTGTGGCAGGGAATTAAAATAAGTGGCTTGAAGTTGGTGCTGGTGAAGACCTTCTGAAGGATGCTGCTGGCCAAGTCAGGGACATTTGATCTGCTTCTGAGCCAGCATGTGAATGGACACAGGTTCCAGCCCACTGTTTTATGGCAAATAAAATTGGGGTGGTTGTATTTGTGCGCAGCTGCCTGCGTTAAGTCTCATCAGTGCTAACTTGGGCCATCCAATTTTAATTTGCTGTCACATGTCTGCCAGAGCACTGCAGGAGGGTGGGAGAGAGGATATTTTTCCCGATGACTACTGTTGACATTTGCAGAATAGAAGTCAAGTCAGCCACTTGTTTGTTCAAAGTTTTTAGTGCTCATAGTGGTTCTCAGCCAGCTGGGATCGCTCAGCACCTGCAGCCCAGCAGGGACCTTCCAGCTGCAGCCTGGGGAAAATTGATCAAGCTGTGTCAGTGTTTAACTTTGGTTCTTAGACCAGGGGTATCAGTGAAACCAAAATGATTGATCTTGCTATACAGTTTGGGGAAGCAAATGAGAAGGTATTTGGTTCTTCTTTGCTGCCACCACAAAAAAAGGAAATAATTAAGGAAACAATATGCACACACAGGCTCAGGGAAGCTGTGGCTGATGGCTTTTTTTACTGGGGGCATGTTGCAGCTTTGATTTTTCACTAATGGCAGCAACTGCAGAAGCAAGGCAAAAATTCAGTCTTCACCCCAAAATCTCCAAGAGGTGTGTGTGTGTGTGAGGGCTAATGTTTGTTTCTTCTGGTATTGCGGGCTCAAGGTAAGAGCATCAGAATGATGTCGTTGGCGGTGGTCCTGAAAAGTAGCTCTTCTCTGGCTGGATCCAAGCTCTGCATCTAATAACAATGTGAATAACTTCTGTTTCCTAGAAAGGTGATCATGGACTTGATTTTCACAAGACTGAGCAAAATCCACATTTTATTTCAGCACGCTGGTGTGTGCTGAGACCTGAAAACATTAGCACTGTGTGAAAGTGGATTGTGAGAGCACCTCATGGAGAGCGGGTGATTAAGGGGACAAAGAATATGAGTGAGCTGTGTTGTAAAGACCAGGAGCAGGTATAGAACAAAGATGACAGCAGTAATAAGCATGAGCTGAGACTGGGAAGAAACAAGGAGAGATTTGAGAAAATTGCAACTAAAATATATACTGGACGTTACTGTAGAAAAGATGTGAAGCGGAACAAGGGAGAGAAGTGGGGGAAGCAGGAGGAAGCAATTGCCAAGTGCTGGTAATAGCAGTGTAGAAGAGAGGTTTAATTGGAAACCTGTTATAATTAACTGCAGTCCTGCTCCCATGCATTTCAGGAATGCATATGGCAGGTAATTTTCCTTTTGGCTGTTGTGCTGCTGATGCAGAGCGTGCTGGGTTTCAAGCCAAGTGACCGATCCACGTTTGTGTTTACGAGGCCCTGAGCAAACACGTTAATAACGTCATTTGTCATGGGAGATGGCACTACAAACTGATTTCAGATTTTTCTGTAGCAGACGGGGAATGCACTCTGATTCTGCTCTGTCTAAAGCTGCTCGTTTTAACTGTTTGAGCATGAGCTCTTGTCACCTGGCAGGAAGACATTGACCCTAGTTGGTGCTGGAGGGAGACCTTGACCTCGTTGGTATGACCCATGGAGGCTCCTTCTAAATCCCATGGGGGACTTTCTAAGTAGGGAAGGGGCGAATCTGTGGTTTGTACATTCTTTATGTCTGGAAGGATGAAAAACAACTATGGAGGGTTCCTAAAATTCATTTGAACTTAGTTGTCCTTTACCTAAAGAGGATGCCAGTGCCACATGCTGGAGAGAGATGCTTTGGATGCTGGTGCTCCTTCAGAGGCTCTTCTGAGCAAGTCAGGCAGATTTTTGCATGCTGGCAAGCAGGATTGCTGTGACAGAGATGTTATGGGTGCATCTTTTAGATCCCTTTGGCAATTTAAAACTAGAACAAGTGGAAACCAGTGGCTGCAATTTCAGTTAAAAACAACCACATCCCACCCCACAGAAAAACCCTCTGAATGCAAAAGGCATGGGAATTTGGAGGTCAGTGAGGGTGAGTGTTAAAGCCAAGCCCTGAGCAGTGGGAGCAGTGAAAGCTCAGGTAAAGGCAGGTGTGCCATGGCTCTATGTTTCTGGTGGAAGCACCTGGTTCTGTAACATCAAATCACAGAAGGGTTTGGGTTGGAAGAGACCTTCACGGACCATCCAGTCCAACCCCCGACCATGGGCAGGGCATCTTCCAGTAGACCAGGTTGCTCAAAGCGCTGTCCATCCTGGCCTTGAACACTTCCAAGGGTGGAGCAGCCACAGCTTCTTTGGGCTACCTGTCCCAGTGTCTCACTACCCTCATTGTAAAACATTTCTTCCCTATGTCCAACCTAACCCTGCCCTCTTGCAGTTTAAAACTGTTGCCACTTGTCCTGTCACTACAGGCCCTGGTAAAAAGTCTCTCTCCATCTTTCTTATAAGCCCCTTTTTTATATTGAAAGGTTGCAGTAAGGTCTCCCTGAAGTCTTCTCCTGTCCAAGCTGAGCAACCCCAACTCTCTCAGCTTTTCTCTGTAGAAAGCTTTGTTTTTATTATGCAGGTTTGTTTAGCTTGTGAGCACTAAAAGGGTAATGAATGGCTTTTACCTGTTGAAAGAGAGACTTCCTTGGCTATATACCATCAACTGCTTTAGATCTTGTTGAAGGGAATGTGATGCCAGACTCCCCTTGCTAGCTGTGTGCAAGAACTGCTTCCAAATCGTTCGAGGACACTGAATGATAGAGGAAGACCTGTGTGCATCCATTTTCTTCTTTCCAGATCATAGGTGAGATTAGTGAGCAAGCCCGTGAGGCCAGCCCAGTGGTTTGTGTGAGCTATTGTAGTAATTTCTTCTGTCTCTGTCAGAGCACATGGGTTGAGGGTGAATACTTTGCAGAGGTCATAGCCAACAGTTATCTGTCTCTTCTTTTTCACTTCTAGGTTTATTCTTCAGTCTAAAGGAGTGATTCATAATCAGCTCTTAGAAAAACAGAGAATAGCCGAAGAGAAAATTAAGGAATTAGAGGTAAGTTTTTTGGAAGATAATAAAGTAGAACGTTGAAGGTCCATAAGATGCTGTTTGCTACATCCCTTGCTTTTATCTGGTACTTTTCATTCTGAAGGATTGTAACTAGGTGAGACATAGTGCCTGTTACAAGTAACCTACAAGTAATTAATGTAGCGTGGTTTCCTTCCTAGATCCACAATCCCAGTAGGATTGATTGTTCACTCTGTGTCCTGATACGAAAGGTGAGGGATTCAAATGAGATTAGTAGGAGCAAAGTTTAAAACTAGCAAAAGGATGTTTGTGTGGTTATTTGCAGCAGATAGGTGATGTGAAACTTTACCAGAGCTGTGGATATTAAAAGTTTACACTGGCTCAGGACAATTGCACAAATTCATGGAAGTGAAATCCATTGAGAATTACCAAATATGTAGAAATGGCATCCTGCTCAGGAAGTCCCTGAACTAAAAATGTCTGGAGGCTGGGAAAGTATGAGGAGGAAGTACTGTATACGCCTGCCCTGTCCTTACACTCTGCCCTAGGCATCTACTTGTGGCTGCTGTTGAAGACCGGATCTAGGGGGAGATGGGAATTTGTTTTGACGATATGGTCAGAGCACTTCTGTGTTCTTGTGTTTATCTAGTTGGAGTATTCAAGGCAGAGAAGAATATCTAGGAAATATAAAGTAGTGTCTGAGCAAGTTCCAGTGTTCAAACAAGTTATCTAGTGAATCTTGACTATTTTCTTGTGGTTATATGTACAGCTTACAGTTCTTTGGAGATGTTCAAAATGTGCTTTTCCAAGGCCATTGGTGTATTTCTTTTTTTTTCCTTAATGCCCCTAAAATATATTTAATATTAAACCCTGTTTGTTGGTTTTTGGAGAATGACAGAAAGCAAAGACTGCATTGTATCAAGCTGCTTATCACATCTGTTAGTGTTTTGGAGGAAGTGGGTGTGGAAACCAGCTAAGTACGGACAAAAAGGATAGAAAGTCAGTGTTAAAATCTACTCAAACCTGTGCAGTTCTCCATTGTCTCCTACTTACACTAAAGCAGAAGTAGAGTTTATATTTTTTTTAATTCCTTCTTAAAATTCAGCATGCCTGTGGAGCAATAGGGCAAGCACAGCACCATATGCTGGGTTGCCTGGAGTGTTTTCTGTACCAGATACTAAGGAGTTTTGTGTTTCTGGCTGTGAGAACTTCTTCTGCGCAGGGAAGACAAGTACTCTGTGGGTAGGCTATATATTTAAGGTAGTGTTAATGCAGACAAGGCATAGTCATTTTTATGGTTACATGATAAAAATGATTGTATCCTGGCTACTCTGGAGCCATCCCAGATGCCAGTGACTTTGCACAAAGACAGCCCTGTAACTGGGGTTTGAGAACTTCATAGCAGCACATCTGGACGGGGAAGTGATTGGCGTGTGGTTGACAGCCTCTGTTCACAGACTGCCCATTGGGTCCCTCCCGTACTGCCGTCAGGCTGCGGTCAGCTCTTTGGCTACTGTGCCCTCCAGCTGTGTGTTTCAGTTTCTTCCTGTTCCTGGGGGCAATGGTCTTACCTCTTGAACTTTCCAGTTGCTGAATTCAGCAGAATGGATGGAATTCCCCCCAAACTATAACCTTTACCATTCTTACACAAAGCCTCAGAGCTGGCTGCTTTGCAAATATGTTTTTCTGCTTCATAGCTCCCTGTTGCTTGAATGGTTATGGCCACTGAATTGAAGTTCCCAGCAACAGGGACTGTCTCAAAAGGTGGTGGCCACATGGACTGTTTTTTCTTTTTAACCATGGATAGTAGAGCTCAGATTGCCAAAACTTTCAACAGTTTGTGTTAAGTGGACATTCAAGTCCATCTTTTAACTACTCTGCTTCCAACTAGCTGGCAGCTTTGTGAAAAGGATTTTCCTTAGGCTTGGGATTCCCCTGGAAGAGGACAAGCTCTTATACTGACAAGAGCTGGAAACAGAGATTTCAGGGGAAATACCTGAGTCCAAGTCAGAGAGCACTTATCACAGGAGTAGGGGATTTTGCTCTCCTGAAAACAAGTGGTGACAGAAGCAGGAAAGAATGTGAAACTTTGTGACCTTGTGCTTCCACTGCATCATTTTAAAGTAAATACCAAGCCAAGATAGGTTAAAACTGCCCTCTATCCGTTATTAAAACTGGAAGGACTTGAAAGCTTAGGTTTATGTTTTACATTGTTCATACCTTACTCACAATTCTCACTCTGCACAGTTGAATCAAGCTGGTCAGTGTAATCCTCCAGTATCCATACGGTGTGGCTGATCTGGTTACTTGTGTAGCATGAGCTTGAGACAATTCTGCATTGCTATTGCAGTGCCATTGCCAAGGTAGTGCAAAATGTGTATTTTTGATACAAGCCTGAATGTGAGAAATGCTCTCATTACTGTCTTGGTGCTGCTTGCAGAGGAGCATAGCACATAGGGCTGAGTTCACTGCTGAGCCCTCCTGTAAATCCATCCAGCTGTGTAGCAAGGAGAGCTCCTGAGTGCTGACTTTATGAAAATGTGGGCTTTAACCTGGTTCAGAGATGTGAGCTGGGCTTTAACCTGCTTCAGAGATGTGAGCTGGGTTTCCTGACATTCACAGCTGTCAGAGTGAACTTTGAAAACAGTGAGGGGTTTTGTGTCTGGTTTGAAAGCTTCTTTTCTCCCTCCTCTAACAGTGTCCATTGCAATGCACGATTGCAGTTATTCTCTTTCCCGCACTCCCCTCTCTTGGGTTCTCCCACTGTTGAAGTGGTGCATTGCCTGTTTCAAGGCAGCATCACAAAATTGATGTGATACTGCTAGATTGGTCCTTCCTGCTGCTTATTGCATGGCAAAGCAGCAAGGACAAGCAGACCTGTCTTTGTACAGGGCTGTGAAAATAAGGCTTGGCTGGAATACACGTTGGGTGTGCTTAGTGAGAGGAACTGGATTCTGAAATCACCAAAGGGGTAGGGATGTGTACGAGGGGGCAAATGCATAGCCTGCCAGTTACTCTGCAGAAGCAGTGAGGTAGTTTTACCCTTCTTGTTAAAGCTAAGGTATGAACATGAATATATATATATATATATATATGTACATATGTTGCATTCTTAACTTCATAACTTGTGTATAATCCCTTGGAATCCAAATAGACTGCCCAGGCTTGCTGGCAAAATACACATGCCTGCTTAAAGGCTGTGCGAGCGTGGCTTACAAAAACCTGCTTGAATCTTGCAGCAATTGATGGCACAGGCTCCCTCACATGCTGGCATGGGAATCGTCCTGCTTAGCAGTAGCGATTGGATTTTTCCAGTCCTGATATTATCAAATTCTTGTTGTGTTTCACAGTACAAGGGGTATGTGCTAAATCTATTTTGAAAGCATTCTAAAGGGATGAGCACAGACTCTTTTTAGCGTAGCAATGTTTGTGCAGTATTAGGAGAAAAACCAAGTAATGTTTTTCTTCCCTTGTTTTTAAGGAAACATGATATGTGAGGGGTGGAACAATGCTTTGTTTCAGGAAATGTTATCCATTTCCATTGTAGGGCTAGATGGATTCTGTTTTTAAATGTGGCATTTTAAAAAGAACAAACTCTATGATGTTATAAAGACATGGAAAATTGGTTCCTCATTAAGGGTGGAGAAAGTGATTATCGCTTTGTGTTTTCTCTGATAACATCTGATAGTCAGTCCTCTTCTCTCCTGCTATATTCAGCATGTTTAGTTGTCAGGCGTTGTCAGACTAAATTGCTAAAAATAACAAATAAGGGGGAGGCTCTGCTGTGCAGCTCGGTCTGCTGCGTGCCACTGAATTTAGCTCCTTGTGAAAAGGGCAGAAGCAACCTGCAACTTTCTGGTCCAGTTGGATTTAACTTTTAAACTCCGATTACAACACTGCTGTGCTTGTTTCCCAGGCAGTTCTTTCATATGGAGGGACACATGGGAGAGTGGAAGTTTACTGCTGCAGAGATAAAGGGTTCGTTGTTTTCTTTTCTGTCTGCCTGGAGTAGAAAATACAATCAGGAAAGCTATACCTAAGTGCTTGATTTCTAATTCAGAAATTCTTCATGTGATCCCTAAAATGCTGTGTCCAATTGCCCTCTCCCACATGGAAAATTTACTTGCTCCCATTCATGGTTGAGAAATGAACGCTGTGCTCTCAAACTCTGCTGTGCTCCTTGGTCATTGGTGGTGTTGCAGTGCTTCTGCCTGGTAAAGTTAAAATGTGACTGCAGTGCAGTGCCTTATGGTGACCAGACCTCGGAGGTTAACAACAGACTTCTTGCCCGGTGCTGCCTGGACATAGATTTGTTTGTGCTGTGGCTTCCATTTCTTTAATCTTCTTTCTCTAGGAGCTTTAAAATGGCTTTGCTGCAGCCCTGAGGTGTAATGGTGGTGCCCCGCTTCTAGCTGAATCTGATGGTTGGCACAACAGTGTTTTCATACCCTGTGGGAACACAGATTTAAGCAGGTGAGGTGTGGCTGGGGAAGTGCCGGAGCCTGGGAGCTGGTGTTCTCCAAGAAAGTATGGCTCAAGTGGACCTGCCCGATGTGGCCACATGCCTGTGATGTGCTCCTGCAGCTGCTCTCTGGATGTCCCTTTGGTTTTTACCCTGAAACCCTCGTGGAGGCCAATTCTGAGGGTGGCTTTAACGATGTGAAAACAGGTCTCTTGAGATCTGTGGTGCGCTTTGCAGACCACTAAGCAACCATCAGAAGGTATCAATTGTTAGGCGTTCCCAAGTTAGACCAATTTCTTCCTGGGATTCGCAGCATAGAAGCTTTCATTCTATGGTTGGCTCAGGATAGGCCAGTGCCCAGGAATGTGTGGTGGGCTTTTTAAATAAACGGAGGAAAATAAGGCCTGCTCCTGTTTGCTTTGGAGAGGGGAAGCCTCAAGAATAGCCCTCTGTGCTTTAGCCTGGAGCAGATTTCACTTTGGATGAGTGTGCCGTCCTCTCATTCCATTGCTGGCATACGTGCACGTACCGAGGACATGATTTTAAACACATGTCACAGAACCTG